CCGAGTCCACAGACCTGCCCTTGGCCCCTGCCCTTCTCCAGCCTTGGGTGGGCTGGCTTTCCTTTTCACTCTGTGGCATCCAGCAGTGTGACACCGCAAGTGCTGCTTTCTGTTTGAGCTAGCCAGAACGGGCTCCTCTTGTTGGCCACCCTAAGAAACTTAATATAAGGGAGATTAAAACAAAAACAAAACAGCAAAAGATTTACCATGGGCACGGACTGAGGGTTCAAAGAGATGTTGACCAGCCCTGTGCTGAGCCAAGTAGGTCATGAGTAGGCTTGACACCTACATTGTCTCCCTTCCCTGCTCCTGCTCTTGGCCCTGTGCTCAGAGACACACCCAGGACCACAAGAAGGCAGACTGCTCTGCCGCATCGTCCTATTGCCTCAGGGGCCGGCAGCCCTCCGCCCAGCGCATCTACATGCTAATGCAATTTCTGAGCCTGATATATTGTAAGCGTGGCTACAAATCCTGGGTGATTTATTATTGTCCCCTAGTTCTATAGATCAGAGACAATTTTTTATAAGTTCTTGCATTTGCTGAACAATTTAATATGCCATTGTCTAGGCAACAGAATTTTCCTCAATTAGATTTTAAGGCTAATATGGGGAGGAACTTTCCCCCTTCCTCTCCAACAATATTAGGAAAGGCCATAAGTCCTGATCAAGAGCAGAATTTGCCGGTGCCTCTCGGGGAACTTCAAACCTGATTGTCTTCGGCAGCAGGACTGCATCCGACCTTCTGATGTCCTGTTGAGGCACCTGAGGCTGCCAGTGGGAAGAACCCAAGTCTCAATAGAGTCTGGGTACTGGCCATGCAGAGAGGCCCCCATCAGGGGATGCTGACCTTAGAGAATGAGTCACTCTTCAGCCACATAAGCGCAGAAATTCAATCTTTTCATGCCCCGAGTTATTGGATGCTTGAATAAACATAACCACCGAGGGACCCGAGAACAAACCAGAAGGAAAATTTACTAATTCCAAGCAGTCTGGAGTGTCACACCAGTGGGGTGAGCACATTTTCTTCCCAGAGGCACCGCTCCCCTGGAAGCCAAAGTATCCGAAGGTGGCATGGTGAACATGAACTTGGCATGCAGGGCTATCACTGTGTCATGGGTACTTGGAATGGCTACAGCTCCTCCTGGGCAGGGGGAGGGCAGGCCCCGCTCAGGTGCAACCGCAGACCTCCTTCAGGCTCCCCTGGTTCATGAGCGTCCATCCGGGGACCCCCATCTCCAGTGAAGGCCTGGGGCTTGTCCTCCGGCTTCTGTTCTATTGGTCATGAGCTGATTCCTGGCTTAACTCTCAGGAGACTCCTCATTCCCTCCTCCGCAGACTCTTGGGGGTCTCTTTCAGTCACCTTGACGCGGGCAGATCTTGGTTTTGACTGGACTTGAGGGCGGGGCGGAGGAGGAGTTAGGTGACTCAGGTTGTAGTTTGGTGACAAGCTGGGGGACGGTGTCCTTCCGAGCGCAGCAATAGTTGCTGTTTACGAGTGCTGTCCAGGGACCTTTGAATCATTAGCTCATTTAGTGCTCCCAATGCTCCTATGAGTAAAGTCCTAGTGTATTTCCCAATTGGCTGAATGGCAACTTTGAAAAATTTCCTTGTTTTGTGTAAGTATTTAGTTCTCGTTTACCAGTTTTCATTTTGCCTTTAAAACAGCAAGCGGAAGCCCAGTGAGTCTTGTTCCATTTCCTGCTGCCGCCACGGGAGCCAAAGGGTGGAGAGAGGGGAGAGCGGGGAAGAAGGAAGTGTAATATATTCTTTAATAAGGAGGATTCTTATGAACATATCCTTCATTCATGTTTTCTTGGTCATAAGGATAACAAATTTTTACGAGTCTCCATAACCAAGAGCACAGTCTCATGAATGTATTCTCCTATGCGCCCCCCCCCCCAACCCCCCTTGATCTTCAGCTGCAGCAGCTGGGAGCTGGGGGAGACAATAGTCAAATATTCAGTAAAATCCTGTTATGGAGACAAGATGAAAGCTGGTTGATGAGAACAGAATACTTCAAAGCCTCAAGTGATTGGGTGGATTGTTCATTTGGCAGCCGGGCTCTCAGCACGCTGGGTGAACTGGCCATTGAGTTGGCTTTGGCTAACTGTCTAGGTGCCTGAATGACCTGGAGTCCTCTGCCAGATGAGGAAGCAGAGGCCGGAGAGGTCGAGGCAGTTGTCTGAGGTCACAACACTAAGCGTTAGAGCCACAATTTGACAAGGCTTGTCTGAAGGAGAGCCGGTGTCTTCAGCCCTCCAGCAGGGTTAGCGCACAGGAGAGAGGACAGGACATGACGCAGGATGGTTTCCTGGTGTCTCCGAAGAACTGAATCGGGGTAAGCTGATGTGCAAGTAACAAAAGCTCAAATGCTGACAGAAGTCAGGAAGGTGAGAACACAATTGAGGGGCTGCAAAGGAATTAGAAAAATCTAATTTACTCTAAGAAAAAACACAATGTAAAGGGTCACTTGGCACTAATGACAGGGACGCAATAGGGGCATGCGAGGACTGTGGTGCACTGATGGAGTCACCATCAGGGCTGGAGACCTGATTTTTCAAGAAAAGTTGTACTTTGGCCCTACCCGGTTTGGCTCCGTGGATAGAGCGTTGGCCTGTGGACTGAAAGGTCCAGGGGTCGATTCCGGTCAAGGGCATGTACCTTGGTTGCGGGCACATACCCAGTAGGGCGTGTGCAGGAGGCAGCTGATCGATGTTTCTCTCCCATCGATGTTTCTAACTCTCTATCCCTCTCCCTTCCTCTCTGTAAAAAATCAATAAAATGTATATATTTTTAAAAAAAGGAAAAGTTGTACTTTGATATCCAATCTCTCAAGATGTAAGGGTAACATCAAAAGATCCTGTAGAGTGAGGTACTGCTCACTAACCACCTTGGTGGGTCAGACACAGTACTCACCGCACAGCCCCTCCCTGAGGTGGGCGCTGTCATTACTCCTACTGAACAAATGAGAGACCAGAAGCCACAGGGCCAAGAGGTGGCAGACAGAGCCAAGACTGGAACTCAGATCTTCCCGGCTCCAAAAGTCCTGCCTGTTCCATCCCATGATATGCTCCTGGCTCCTTGCATGGTGCGTCTCCCCTCCCTGATCAAGCCTTGACTATCAGGACAGAAGTGAGCATGACTGACCAGTTACTGCGACATCAGTCACTGCCACAAGAGCATGAAATTGTCATCCGGGAACCGAGTGTACCGAGACAGCTGGCTCCAGCCCACAGAGGCGGGCAGCACTATTATTTTAAGAATCCTCCCGGGCACAGAACAGCAGCCTTCATGTCTGTGGAGTTTGGCACAGGGATGGTGCTTCCCTCCCCATCCATGGGCTGTGCAGGAAGACCCAATGGGAAAACCCAGTCTGGACCCTCTCTCGTCTGCTGCTCCTCGTGAGAAATAGAGGACTGACAGTCTGGAGATCTGGCTTCTAATTCTCACCCATCCCTTTATTGTCTGCGTGAACTTGGCTCCTCGCTCCCCCACACTGGACCTTGGTTTCATGGGTTACAGGAATTGGACCTATGAACACAGGGGGTCCCATCAAGTGCAGTAGGAAGGGGCTGACCCCAGACCCAGCTTCATCCTTGAACAGGGCAGATAAGATAATCTCCAGGTCCTGTCTCAGAATCAAGGGAAACATTCATTGGCTATAAATATAGGGTGTCCCTCCCAAAAAACAACAACACATGTATACACAAACTTTGAATAATTGTAAAGGCAATGTTTATTAAAAAAACATTTTATTTTCAAAATTGAGCTATCAGCTGGGACACCCTGTACTATATTTTATTGTGTGCTTGTTCTAACCCAAGATCCTAGAAAAGATGGACATTTGTTTATGCCTGCATTCACATAACCAACTACTCTTTAGAGAATACCTTTGGTCTAGACCTTGAGCGTGGCATCACGGATACAGAAATAGGTAATATGAGGCCCTTGGCCTTGAGTGTCAGGAAATGCCACTGGAAAGCGATGAACAGGAATGAGTAAGACGGAAAAGAGCTTGGGCTGTCTCTGCTTCCCCTGAGTGGTGGCCTCAATGAGTCCCTGTAGGGAATAAACCATAGCAGCTTATCGAGAAAGGTCTGCTCCATCTGGACAAGGGCCAACTGCTTCCCGCATTGCAGAGGGGAGAGGGGACTCCCAGAAAAATCAGGAAAGGCTTCATAGAGGAGGTGATGTTGAGTGGAGCCTTGAAAAGTGCACAGGACCTCAGCAGTTGGAGATGGGAAGAGGATGTTCCAGGCAGAGCAAATGTCTGCAGTCCCCCAGACATTGTCCAGGGCAAACCTGTTTCGGCTGGATGCAGCAGAGGCTGTGTGAGAAGAAAAGGAAGGTGGGGGCATATGAGAAAGCTTCTGAAATCAGGCCAAGGAGCAGGCGATTCTGTCGAGGAGACTTGGTGGATGAGCTCTACCAATCAGGGTCCTGGGTTACAAACCACAGAAATCAATTCCAAATACCGGTAATCACGAGAAGAATCTGTTAGGATATGATAAAGCTCACAGAATTGAAGGAGGGGCTGCCCAGCCAGACTTCAGAAACTACAAGACATCTAGAAGGGAAGAGTGGTAGGGAGTCATGAACGGTGCATTATGCAGCTATTGCTACAATAAAGCTGCTTAACAAATAGTCCTCGACTCTTGGTGACAACAACCAACCTTTTATTTGTCCTTGTTCGTAGGCCTGGGGGTTGGCTGGGATGGCCCTAGTTTAGGCTACACCAAGTTCAGGTGTATGATACATTTCTCCTCAATTCTCCTCGGACCAGTGGCTCCCTGGGGCTTATTGTTTCGTAACAGAAGGCAGAGGAGCAAGCCAAACCATAGAAGAACTTTTAAGACCTCTGTTCCTGTCCTGTTCAGTAATATTCCATTGGCTAGAGCAAGTCCCATGGAGAAACAAAAGGAAAAATAAGAGGGTGGGAATTCATGAGGAATGTATGTGTGTGTGTATGTGTGTGTGTGTGTGGGGGGGGGGGTTGTGTGGATGGAGCGGTACAGTCAGCCTACGCAGCCAGAGCGAGAGCAGAGGGGCAAGGGCTTCCCAAAGGAGCACAGGCTGTTGCTGCCTGAAGAGGTGACGCTGAGAGGCAGGCATGGGAAGAGGCCTGCTGCACACCTGCTGGGACCGGGGCCGGGCCGAGGGCCTGTGGTCTGATCAGCCCGGGCAGCTCACTATCTCCTTAGCGAGTTCAAGCGGAGTGTGGGGAGTTTTGAGTCTCACTTCTACCCTCAAGATGACCCCTGACCTCTGGCCTCCCATGACCTCTGCCCTCTGTCTCTCAGGCCCCTCAGACTGTGGAACTCCCAGCTGTCGCTGGTCACACCCTCACTGTGCGTAGAGGCCTGTCTTTGCTCCTGGTGGGCGGTTACTCTCCTGAAAATGGCTTCAACCAGCAGCTGCTCGAGTACCAGCTGGCGACTGGCACCTGGGTATCCGGAGCGCAGAGTGGGACACCCCCCACAGGTGGGCTAGGGACCGGAGAGCACAGCGTCTCTCATCCACCCCACGCTCTATGGCCGCTGCCCCTCACACCTTGTTACCTCCCTGTCTTCCCCTGACCCTACCCAGATCCTCAGGTACCATCTCTTGAGAATGAGGAGTCAGTTTCTCTGTCTAACACCCTCCCCTTGACTCCATGAAAAGCTGGCCTCTTCCTGTCCAATAATGCTGGTCACCATCTCCTCTCCCAAGAGCACTATCCCTCAGATAGTCTCCTTTCTCTTCCTCTCCTTCTATTCTTTGATCACTGTCCCCAGGACATTCTGGCCACCCCGTCTCCCTCTTCCCTTCCCCAGAGCCTCTGATGGTTATCCCTTGAGCTCACGGGAGAGAGAGGGGTTGGGAAGGGCTCCTGAGTCTGTGGCCTCAGGGCCTGGGAAGGTGTTGTGGTCATGAGAAGGGGAGCCCGGGAAGGTGGGGGCCTTCCTGATCCCCAGGCCTTCCCCAGCCTCTGTTCTCACTCTCCCCCGCCCCCCCCACCGCCCAGGTCTCTATGGTCATTCTGCCGTCTACCATGAGGCCACCGACTCTCTCTACGTGTTTGGGGGTTTCCGCTTCCATGTGGAGCTGGCAGCCCCGTCCTCCGAGCTCTACTCCCTGCACTGTCCTGACCGAACCTGGAGCCTGCTGGCCCCTTCTCAGGGGGCAAAGGTCAGGAAAGGTGGTCTTGACAGATGGATGTAGTGGGTGGAAGGGAGGGGGCCTCCCTATCCCAATGATCCAGGACTAGTTCTAACCTGGACTCCTACTTCCCCTTCTTCACAGTCCCTTGAACTGAACTGTGACATCCCAAGTCTCCCCTGCTTCCATCCCTGGCTTGGAAGAAGGAATCCTAGACTAGGAGTTCAGAGGCCTGGGTTCTGTTCCTCCCCGCTCTTGGTGCAGCCCTGGCAGGCCCCTCCCCCTTCCTGGCCTCCCCATCTGGAACTGGGGCTCTGAAGCTCCTTGCACTTCCTGCCTTCAAGGCCAAAAGAGCGGGGTGTGGGAGAATTTGCAACCTTGGATGTGCTGGTTAGAGACAATTGCATTTTCCGTCCACCCGACATATTTCCAAGTCCTTCACAGATGCCCCCAGCCCCGCTGGTGAGGTTACATGAAAATGTGACGTCCATTTTAAGCAGTCTGGGCTAGTTCCTGGGGAGTAGCTTGTAACCAGTCTAGGGCCTGCACTTGGTGCCAGGGGTCTGCTTGTCCAGGGACCAGGCCCACAGGTAACGGAGCTCACAGAGCACAGGGTGTGGGAGTGCAGGAACAGGAGGTGGCTCTGGGGCCCGCTGAGGAAGGAGGGAGGTTTCCTGGAGGAAGGAGGTGAGATCTGAGGAAGGATCACTGGGTGGGCTGGTAGGTGCTGGGGTGTAGGGAGAATCAGCGTGGCCAGTGGGCTGAGAGAGTGAGCAGAGGACTGTGGGCTCTGACAGGCCACCTGTCTCCCCAACAGCCCCGCCCCCGACTTTTCCACGCCTCAGCGCTGCTAGGGGACACCATGGTGGTCCTGGGGGGACGCTCGGACCCTGATGAGTTCAGCAGCGATGTGCTGCTCTACCAGGTCAACTGCAACTCCTGGCTGCTGCCTGACCTCACCCGTAAGTTCATTGCTGTCCCTGCGAGCCCCCGGCCTGGGACCCCTGCTCATTAGGAGTCACTTGGGTCCCTCAGACTCTCAGGCAAAGCTCCTGTCCTCTCCATGGTATCTAAACACCCAAGGGGATGCCCTCCTTCCTTCCTTTTTTTTTCTTTTTTCTTAGAAAAGTTTATTTTGCTGCTTTTATTGGGGTCTATGGTGGGGGCCTAGGATTTCTACTGGCTCACTCATTATTGGTGAATTTAATACATAAGAGCAGAATTTAAAGCACAGGAAGAGCCCTAACCGGTTTGGCTCCGTGGATAGAGCGTTGGCCTGTGGACTGAAAGGTCCAGGGTTCGATTCCGGTCAAGGGCATGTACCTTGGTTGCGGGCACATACCCAGTAGGGCGTGTGCAGGAGGCAGCTGATCGATGTTTCTCTCCCATCGATGTTTCTAACTCTCTATCCCTCTCCCTTCCTCTCTGTAAAAAATCAATAAAATGTATATATTTTTAAAAAAAGGAAAAGTTGTACTTTGATATCCAATCTCTCAAGATGTAAGGGTAACATCAAAAGATCCTGTAGAGTGAGGTACTGCTCACTAACCACCTTGGTGGGTCAGACACAGTACTCACCGCACAGCCCCTCCCTGAGGTGGGCGCTGTCATTACTCCTACTGAACAAATGAGAGACCAGAAGCCACAGGGCCAAGAAGTGGCAGACAGAGCCAAGACTGGAACTCAGATCTTCCCGGCTCCAAAAGTCCTGCCTGTTCCATCCCATGATATGCTCCTGGCTCCTTGCATGGTGCGTCTCCCCTCCCTGATCAAGCCTTGACTATCAGGACAGAAGTGAGCATGACTGACCAGTTACTGCGACATCAGTCACTGCCACAAGAGCATGAAATTGTTATCCGGGAACCGAGTGTACCGAGACAGCTGGCTCCAGCCCACAGAGGCGGGCAGCACTATTATTTTAAGAATCCTCCCGGGCACAGAACAGCAGCCTTCATGTCTGTGGAGTTTGGCACAGGGATGGTGCTTCCCTCCCCATCCATGGGCTGTGCAGGAAGACCCAATGGGAAAACCCAGTCTGGACCCTCTCTGGTCTGCTGCTCCTCGTGAGAAATAGAGGACTGACAGTCTGGAGATCTGGCTTCTAATTCTCACCCATCCCTTTATTGTCTGCGTAAACTTGGCTCCTCGCTCCCCCACACTGGGCCTTGGTTTCATGGGTTACAGCTATCAGACCTATGAGCACAGGGGGCCCCATCAAGTGCAGCAGGAAGGGGCTGACCCCAGACCCAGCTTCATCCTTGAACAGGGCAGATAAGATAATCTCCAGGTCCTGTCTCAGAATCAAGGGAAACATTCATTGGCTATAAATATAGGGTGTCCCTCCCAAAAAACAACAACACATGTATACACAAACTTTGAATAATTGTAAAGGCAGTGTTTATTAAGAAAACATTTTATTTTCAAAACTGAGCTATCAGCTGGGACACCCTGTACTATATTTTTATTGTGTGCTTGTTCTAACCCAAGATCCTAGAAAAGATGGACATTTGTTTATGCCTGCATTCACATAACCAACTACTCTTTAGAGAATACCTTTGGTCTAGACCAGAGGTCCTCAAACTTTTTAAACAGGGGCCAGTTCACTGTCCCTCAGACATTCCACACATGCGCACTGCGGGCCCGGGATGAGTCGGCTGCTAAGCAGGACAGGCAGCGGCAGCAAAAACACCCGGCGGGCCGGATAAATGTTTTCGGCGGGCCGCATGTGACCCGCGGGCCGTAGTTTGAGGACTCCTGGTCTAGACCCTGAGCGTGGCATCACGGATACAGAAATAGGTAATATGAGGCCCTTGGCCTTGAGTGTCAGGAAATGCCACTGGAAAGCGATGAACAGGAATGAGTACGACGGAAAAGAGCTTGGGCTGTCTCTGCTTCCCCTGAGTGGTGGCCTCAATGAGTCCCTGTAGGGAATAAACCATAGCAGCTTATTGAAAAAGGTCTGCTCCATCTGGACAAGGGCCAACTGCTCCACATTGCAGAAGGGAGAGGGGACTCCCAGAAAAATCAGGGAAGGCTTCATAGAGGAGGTGACATTGAGTGGAGCCTTGAAAGGTGCACAGGACCTCAGCAGTTGGAGATGGGAAGAGGATCGAGAAAGGTCTGCTCCATCTGGACAAGGGCCAACTGCTTCCCGCATTGCAGAGGGGAGAGGGGACTCCCAGAAAAATCAGGAAAGGCTTCATAGAGGAGGTGATGTTGAGTGGAGCCTTGAAAAGTGCACAGGACCTCAGCAGTTGGAGATGGGAAGAGGATGTTCCAGGCAGAGCAAATGTCTGCAGTCCCCCAGACATTGTCCAGGGCAAACCTGTTTCGGCTGGATGCAGCAGAGGCTGTGTGAGAAGAAAAGGAAGGTGGGGGCGGGGGGTAAATGACCACTCTGATCATATGAGAAAGCTTCTGAAATCAGGCCAAGGAGCAGGCGATTCTGTCGAGGAGACTTGGTGGATGAGCTCTACCAATCAGGGTCCTGGGTTACAAACCACAGAAATCAATTCCAAATACCGGTAATCACGAGAAGAATCTGTTAGGATATGATAAAGCTCACAGAATTGAAGGAGGGGCTGCCCAGCCAGACTTCAGAAACTACAAGACATCTAGAAGGGAAGAGTGGTAGGGAGTCATGAACGGTGCATTATGCAGCTATTGCTACAATAAAGCTGCTTAACAAATAGTCCTCGACTCTTGGTGACAACAACCAACCTTTTATTTGTCCTTGTTCGTAGGCCTGGGGGTTGGCTGGGATGGCCCTAGTTTAGGCTACACCAAGTTCTGGTGTATGATACATGTCTCCTCAATTCTCCTCGGACCAGTGGCTCCCTGGGGCTTATTGTTTCGTAACAGAAGGCAGAGGAGCAAGCCAAACCATAGAAGAACTTTTAAGACCTCTGTTCCTGTCCTGTTCAGTAATATTCCATTGGCTAGAGCAAGTCCCATGGAGAAACAAAAGGAAAAATAAGAGGGTGGGAATTCATGAGGAATGTATGTGTGTGTGTATGTGTGTGTGTGTGTGGGGGGGGGGGTTGTTTCAAGAAAAGATACTGTAACTACTAAAGAGGGACAGTTTGCCAGTAGGATTCAGCACCGGAGGCCAGCCAGCCAGAGCCCCCACCCTCCTCAGAACCTCAGTGACTCCGGCTTTCCCCACCTCTGGCCACGAATCTCCTAAGGATGGATGTAGAGCACCCTGGAGATGTCAGTATTGCCCCCTCGCCTCACTGCGAGTGCTCTTGCACATTCCTGCTCAGATCCAAACATCAGACTGAAGCCCCAGGTTGCAGCCTTCATGCCCAAAGTTTGAAGTGATAGCTTGGGCCCTGTGGGCCCCCCACTATTGACAACTGGGGAGCAGCAGGGATTCCAAGAGACTAAGCTGTCTGTCTCAGATCACTCTGGGGTAGAGGGGAAGAGGAGTTGAAACCTTTCTACACCCAAGTTGAAAGCATTCAGCTTCTTATCACTCTTCAGGGTGGGGAGTGAAGCTTCCAGATGAGGCCGTACCTGATGCACCCCCCACCCCTAACTCTGCATCCCGGCTCCGGACCCTGGGCTTCCTCTGGGAGGACCTCTTGGCTATTGCATCTCACTAGGGGACAGCTCTCTAGTTCAAAGCCAGCACTTTTCATTCCGACTCCTGATTTTTCTCTCCTGAAGCCTATGTGTCTATAAGCAGAGCCCTGGTTGCTAGGTGATGTCCTCCGGCCTGGTTCTGGAAGCAGCAGAGGCAGAGATGAGCCGAAGAGATCTGAAGCTTCCCCTTTAAAGACAAAAATATGAAGCCTAAAAGAGGAAATGAGACCCTACATTAATTGGAGGCTTATATAACAGCCAGACACGGTTCTCAAGTCCTCCCCGCCACCCTGCCAAGACCAGCGGGATATATTTAAATGTATTTTTCAAAATAGGGGGAAAAGTAGGAAGTTGAACTGATAAATATAGTTGGCTCTTCTGATTGGGAGAGGAAACTTCTAATTACGTCTTTTTTCTAAGCTGCATCAATCAGACCTACACCTTCATTAGCCTCTGAGTCACTAGTGGGACTTATTGAAACAATTAGATCTGCAAGAACTGCAGCCATCAGCATGGCGACAGCTGTGCCGGGGATTTAAACTTCTCATTAAAATTGAAGGGAGGCTCTTGCAAATCAATAAGGAATAGGGGAACATTCCAACAGAAAAAATGAGCAAAGATCGTGAATAGGCAATTCACAAAAGAACCACAAATGGCCAATAAACAAATGAAAAAAATTCCCAAACTTAGCAACTGAGGAAATACATAAAAACCATAATGAGAAAGCATTTTTTAAATCTAAGTGTGAGTATTTTTAAAGGACAATATATAAGATGAACAAATATGCAGTAAATGCTATTTTTATACACTGTTGGTTGGAATAAGGTTATTATTATTTTTGCTAATCCTCACCCCAGGATATTTTTCCCTTGATTTTTAGAGTAAGAAGGAAAGAGAGAAATAGCGATGGGAGAGAAACACATCAATTGGTTGCCTCCTGCACATGCCCTGACCAGAGCCTGGCAACCGAGGTACCTGTCTCTGGCCAGAATTGAACCCGGGAGGGACCCTTGGGTCCGCAGACCGATGCTCTATCCACTGAGCCAAACCAGCTAGGGCATGGAACGAGGTTAGAGAAGACCTTACCGGAGAGCAATTGTGCCATAGACATGTATAAACACATACGCATCTCTTGGCCAAGCAATATGGTGTCTTTATTTGCAAAGATATTTATCCAGCATTATTTATAAAAAGGGAGAAATCTGAAAAAATATCTATCTAATCATGGGCTATTTGTTAAGCACCCCTGTAAGTTCAACGCAGCGCCCTGGGGCTCCCAGCACGGACGCGGAAACTGCAGCTGCTACAAACCGAAAGGTTCCTCCTGGTTCAGCTCTGGACGCCAGGCCGTCTGGTTGGAATACGGGCTCTCTCCTTGGCTAATGAGTGACCCTGTGCAGATGGGGCGCCTTTTCTGGGCCTCAGTTTCCTCGTCTGTTAAGTGAAGATGAGAACAGTGCCTACCTCTTGACGCTTGTGAGGCTGTGAATGTGGTGTGCCTGGTGGTGGTGAGAATCAGTAACTATCAGCTCCCATTAGCCCTCACCGGGGACTGTAGGGGCCCTTTAAAAAAAAAATTTTTTTTTTATTGATTTTTTACAGAGAAGAAGGGAGAGGGATAGAGCACCAGAAACATCGATGAGAGAGAAACAT